TCTGCGTATGGGCGACGATGAGACGGCGACCGACTACTGCAACCGAGCTCGGCGAATTCTCGCCACCATCAGGATGGCCGGCGCGCAGTACTCGACGGCGTCGTACGTCACCCACGTGATGCAGGGGCTCTCGAGCAGCTACAACCTTCTGAAGCGGCTGTCCATGGCGCCGAGCACGAGGATGACGCTCAACGAGGATAACCTGACCTCGTATATCCTGCAGGACGAGGCGATGCAGGAGGCCGAGCGATCCCAGGAGCTCTTGGCGCAGGCCAACTTCGTCGCCCCGGCGAAGCAAGGAGGCCGACCAGGACAGCGTGGGCAGTCGGGCGGCGGCGGTAGCAGTGGCTGGAAGCCAAGCAAGGACGCCGACAAGAAGAAGTCGGCTAAGGATAGCGGTCGTGGAGGCGGAGGCCGACGCCGGGAATGCTGGCTGTGCGGCGACCCCGACCACCTCTCCTTCGAGTGCCCCGACCACAGTGACTCCGACGACGACGATGCCAAGGGAGGCCGTGGAAGGTCTGGCAGCCGTCGTCCTCGTCGAGGTGGAAACAAGCCGTGCAAGGAGAAGCAGTTGACCAAGTCGACCTCGGCAAAGGACGCCGACTCCTCTGCTGGCGGCAAGGGGCGAGACGACAAGGCGGCGTCGTGCTCGCTGGTCGGCGTCGTGGAGCCGACCGTCTCGCTGGCGCCGGAGGCCGGGGAGGACTTCCAGGCGGTGGCGGCAGCTGTGCAGGCGAACCCGGCGGTGGTCCTGCTCGACAGCGGTTGCTCGCACCACCTGATGGGAACGAAGGAGGCCTTCGTCAACCTGGGGCCGAGCGGCGACGTGAAGCACGTGCGCGGCTTCAATGGGGCGCTGCAGGACGTTCAGGGCCGCGGCACTGTCGCCCTGCAAGGGGCGGCCGGGAAGCAGGTACTCATCCCCGACGTACTTTACGTGCCCGGCGTCCGGGCAAACCTGCTTTCAGCCGGCCAGCTGAAGGAGCACGGCGTGAAGCTGCAGGAGGACGGCGACGGGATGCTGCTTCTCTCGGCAGCAGGGGAGGTGCTCGGTCGGGCGACGTACACCGGGCGTGTCCTCTGCACCGACCTGCGCCCCTGCTCGGCCACGCCGACAACGCCTACCACGGAGGTAGTGGCCCTGCGCGCGATCGTCTCGGCGACGACGGCAACGCCGGACAGGATGCACGCAAGGCTTGCGCACGTAGGCATGGACACCATCCGGAGCCCAGCGAAGCACGAGGTCGCCACCGGGCTGGACCTCCAGTCGGCGTCCGGCGCCGACTCCCAGTGTGTTTCGTGCGTCAGCGGGAAGCTAACGAGGCACACCTTCCCCGACAAAGGCTCCGACGCCGACGACGTGCTGGCCGTTGTGCACATCGATCTGTGCGGGCCGTTCCGCGTGGCTGCCAAGGATGGCAGCCTGTACTTCTTGCTGCTGAAGGACCGCAAGACCTGCTACGTGTGGGTGAGGCCGGTCACTAAGAAGTCCGATGCGTTGCGGGAGTTCGTGCAGTGGCTGGCGATGGCTGAGAGGCAGACGAAGCGGTCGGTGTTAATGCTGCGCTCTGACCGGGGAGGGGAGTTCCTCGGGAAGCAGTTCACCGACTTCGTGAACGTCAAGGGGATCGTCCACGACCTGACCTGCCCTTACACCCCGCAGCAGAACGGCATGGCGGAGCGGGAGATGAGGACGGTGGTGGAGTCGGTGCGGACGATGCTGCTGCACATGGGCGTGCAGCACCACTGGTGGCACCTCGCTCTCCGGCAGGCCGTCTGGGTCCGCAACTGCCTTGAGAGGTCGGCGCTGCCGCCGGGGACGACGCCGTACCAGCTGCTGACCGGGAAGAAGCCCAACTTGTCGCTGGCACGGGTGTGGGGCTGCATGGCGCAGTTCTTGGTCTCCGAGCAGCAGCGTGGTGGTCGAGGAGGATGAGGAGTTTCCGGAGCTCGACCCCGACATGCTAGCCGACCCCGAGCACCGTTGGGACATCTCGACGATGACGGTGAAGGAGGCGTTGGCAAGCTGGAAGGGCCCGGCGGTGAAGGCCGCCATGGAGGAGGAGATCCGCAGCCTCATCAACATGGGCACGTGGGAGCTGGTCGAACGCCCGCCGGGAGTGAACATCATGAAAAACCGGTGGGTGCTGACGACGAAGTACCACATCGACGACACCGTCGAGCGAGAGAAGGCGAGGCTGGTTGTGAAGGGCTTCACGCAGGTGTACGGCGCCGACTACGACGAGACGTTCGCGCCGGTGGGCAGCTACGTCACGCTGAGGATCTTCCTCAGCATTGTCGCCGTGCTCAACCTCAACCTGATGCAACTCGACATGAAGAACGCCTTCCTGCAGAGCAAGCTCGATTGGGTGCTCTACATGTCCCAGCCGGACTACTTCAACGACGGAACCGGCCGGGTGTGCAAGCTGCTGAAGAGCCTGTACGGGCTGAAGCAGTCGCCGCTGTTGTGGTACTTGGCGCTCAACGATGTGCTGGTCAGCGCCGGGTGGAAGAAGAGCCAGGTCGACGAGGCTCTTTACTTCAAGGTCGGCGAGGACGGAGTGGCCTGCTGGGTGCTGGTCTACAACGACGACCTGCTCGCCACCAGCAGCAGCGCCGCGATGCTGAAGGAGCTGAAGGAGCTGCTGGAAGCCGCCTTCGAGCTGCGCGAGATCTCGCCGGTGCAAAAGTACCTCGGACTGGAGATCGTGCGTGACAGGTCGGCGGGGAAGCTGTGGCTGCACCAGCAGGGCTACGCCGACAAGCTGCGTAGGCGCTTCATCGACGAGGAGCAGACCGGGCGCACCCCGAAGACGCCGGTCTCGGTCGACGCCTACGCCGAGCTCACCTTCGACGACGAGGAGGCACAGGAACGCCAGGAGGAATACCGGCAGAAGGTCGGCTCGCTGCAGTTTGCGGCGACGACGACAAGGCCGGACGTCGCCTTCGCCTGCAGCAAGCTGGGGAGCGGCCTCACGGTGAGGAGCGACCAGCACTGGCGCGAGGTCGACCGCTGCCTTGCCTACCTCGCCAACACACGTGACACCGCCCTGGAGTTCGGCGGTGGACCTGAGTCGCTGGAGCTGGTCGGTTACGTGGACGCCGACGACGCCGGTGACAAGCAGAACAGGACGAGCACGAGCGGCTACGTGTTCGTCTACGGAGGGGCACAGCACATCAAGTGCGCTACGTTGTCGTCGACCGAGTCGGAGTGTGTGGCGGCCACCGAAGCCGGGAAGGAGGGACGCCGACTTCGCTTCCTTCTCGCAGAGTTCCGGCAGCTGGACGCCGGGAAGCCGACTGTCCTAAGGATGGACAACAAGTCGGCCATCATGGTCGCCGAGGGCATGGGGTTGACAGGCAACCTCAAGCACATGGAGCGGCGACAGGCCTGGCTGCAGCACATGGTGAAGCGCGGGAAGTTCTCGCTGCAGTACATCCCGACCGCTGAGCAGCCGGCCGACTTCCTGACGAAGGCGCTGCACTATCCGGCCTTCAACCGGTGCTCCGTTGCAATTGGCCAGGTGCGCTTGGCCGACGTGGGCGACGGCGACGACGACGTGCAGCAGTAGGTGCCATGCCCTCTTGCATGGCTGGTGAGGTGACCGGCGTGCTGTGTGTTGGGTGCACGCCGACGGGCTATTCTCGGAGCTGTACTGCCGTGTGGACTGGGGGCCCAAGCGTGAATGCGGCAGGGGAGTGTCAACGGGAGTGTTGTTAGGCCCCGTCCTCGCTTGGGCGGAGCCAACCTTGTGGTCGGATGTGCGGGGGTTGCAACCGACCTGCAGCAGTGGGCACAGGGGCCACTGCAAGGGCGCCGAGCAGGAGGACGCCGTCCTGGACGCCTGGTTGGCGTCCTGGACGCCTGGACGGCGTCCTGGGAAGCTGGACGCCGAGCTGGGCGTCGCCACGACTACCCGGGCGCCTGGTCGACGCCGTGGGCGCCTGCACGGCGTCCTAGAAGGCCAGACGCCGACCTAGGCGTCTGCACGGCGTCCTGGGGGCCCGGACGCCGACCTGGGCGTCCTGGGGGGCCCGGACACCGACCTGGGCGTCTGGTCGGCGTCCTGTGAGGCTGGACGCCGCTCTGGAGGTCTGCTCGGCGTCCTGGGCGTCTGGACGCCGACCTGGGGGTTCGGAAGGTGTCCTGGGCGCCTGGATGGCGGACTGGGGACGCCAGGCATTGGTGGCCGGCTGCGGACTGTGCTGGTTGACCAGGCGTGGTTGCTGGGTCGACCGGGATACCCGGGCGACGTGCGCGAGTGTCGCCAGGGTGGAGTCTGCGAGGCCGACCTCGGGGGTGGTATCCCGAGGTCGACATGGCTGGTGGGCGCAGTCGCTGGCGTGGAGTCTGCCAGGCGTCTGCGCTGTGCACGTGACAGGGAAGTGCGCACCAACCAGCTGCGCGCACCTGCGAAGCAGGTGCACCGTTGTCCTGCGGGTGCAACGCTGTGCAGCCGACTTGCTGCAGCGTTGGCACACCATGGACTTGCAACGTTGGCGCACCGCTATTCTGCAACGCTGGAGCGGTGCGAGCGCTGCTGTGCTGGAGCGCGGTCGACCATGCTGCGCTGGACGTCGACCAGCAGCCTAGCTAGCTCTAATGTAGTCAGTGTTGCCAATGTTGTTCCAATCATTGTTGTCATGTTCTCCTAGTGAAACTCTTGCCAATTCTCCCCGTGAACTAGCAAGCAGCGTGAACACAAGGAAACGACTAAGTGAACGAACGCAGAGATCACACGAGCACCCGTGCCTAGCCTGTAGCCTAGCTCCCGTTGCAGCAGTTATCTCCGCAATGGGATGGGATGGGATGGGATGGGATGAGATGGGGCTTAAAGAACTTGAACAATTATGATGGCATGGAAACCCATGAGGAGGCAGGCAGTGCGGTGCGGTGCGGTGTGGTGGATGCATGGATATCATGTGTGTGTGCGTCCACGTAAGTGACAACACGTGAGAAGAGGGTTGGGTAGTTAAATAAGTTATGGTAGGCTCACAGGTATCTGATATCATTAAAATAGAAAGATGGCAAATCCTCGAAGTTGCCATCAAGCTGGTTGTGCGACAGGTCCATGTTGCACTCATGTCGTATGGCGTGCCGTGGCGCCATGCAGTTAAAGAGGAGGGAAAGAAGAGGGAAAGAGGAGGGAAAGAAGAGGGAAAGAGGAAGCGAGGAGTAGGCAATGAGGATGCAAAGTGGAAGAAAGAGGTAGAGCGAGCAGTGGAGGCAAAGAGGGGACAACGAGGAGGCAACGAGGTGAAATAGATTTTTAGAGAAACAGGGCGAGCGAGAAGTGACAAGTGAGGCAGTTCCATCCACGGGCAGGGAGGGGATGAGAGCAGTTTCATATGATACGAAAAAAGATGGGTTTTTGATTGGATGGGACGGGACGGGACGGGATGGGATGGGATGGGATGGGATGGGATGGGATGGGATGGGATGAGATGGGATGGGATGGGATGGGATGGGATGGGATGGGATGGAATAAGCTAGAGCACAGCAGCATTCGCAAAGGCGGGGAGGACGATTACACCAGAGCCCGAGAAAGGAATGCCAAGGCCTTGTCATGAAAAATGCATTGGCCTGGATAGGGTTGTCGTCGCCAGGCAAGGCAACACTACTGAGCCAACAAGTGTAACCAGAACAAAACAACTCTACACAAAAAAGCTGCGGTGGCAAGCGCAATGGAAAACCCCTCTGTGTGAACAATGGTTCTTAGCTCAACGTTCAAGGTGCAGGAGGCAGGCAGGGAGAGATCATTCAAGGTGGTGTGTGAAGCAAGGGAAGGAGAGTTCTCTGGAAAGAGAGCAGAGACTCACAGCACTTGAAGAGAAGTGGCGCCTGCGAGCTCTTCTGAAATTGATCCTTTGAGTTGGTTGCGGCTGACGTTGCTGCAGGATGGGCACGACGGCAGCAGCAGCAGCAGCGGCAGAAGCAGCGGCAGAAGCAGCGGCAGAAGCAGCGGCGATAGATCGCTGTGCCACCCAGACGGAAACAGGTGAAGAGATTGTGCAGGTGCGGCCGAGCAGGAGGGCGGAAGGGGTGGGGGAAGAGGGGGAAGGAGGGAGATAAGAGGGGGGGAGGAGGGGAGAATGGAAAAGAGGTTGGAGAGATGGAGCACATCAGGGAGTGACTGAACAGTGTCGGAGTCCCTTCCCTTACTGCCTTTCACCCTCGCCCTGTTCCTGCATTACTCTGCTTGCTCCCCTTGTTCCTGCCTCATTGCGCTCAGTCCCCTTTTCCTCCTTCTCTCCTTGCACAGTCATCCCTTCCTCAGCCACTCCCCTGAGAGATTCGGCTCCCACAGCTGGCTACCAAGAGTGGCGTCTGTCACCTGGCTGCTGTAGCTTAGAACGGTAACATAAGTCCACTATGCACTGGTAAACAAACGAGAGAACAAGAGCACTATGCTAGGCTAGGCTTACTTATGCTAGGCCACCCAGTCGCGAGATTCTCAGCGTGATGGGTTGGGCTCGAGCCGCCTTGGCCTTGTATTGGCCTCGTGCCAGATTTCCTGTCTCTCGAGGGCCCTGGAATTGTGCCCGCAGCGCCTTGCAATCCCCCATACTACCAACTTCGCGCTTCTCCCAATGTCCCAACTACCTAGTGTACAAACTGAATGACAATTACTACACTGCTTCTACACCCCAGTTAGCACAGTTACAGAATATAATGCTCTTACCATGATATTCAGTGACAACAGCAATAGCCCTCCTGTGCACGTACTCCTGTCGTGTTGCATACGGAGTCTGGTTCTAGGTAGGTGCTGTGGCTAGGTAGAGTGAGTAAGTGGAGTTTGTGGGTAGGTGCTCTATGCACGGATCTCATCTCTTATGTGGAGTGGAACGTGGGTGGGAAATGGGCCCAGGTGCACACAACAGGGGCAGCACGGGCATCGCACGCACAATGCACATGAAAGAGCAGCACCAGACCCACCTCGTTCTTGAGCAGCTAACACCTCGTCCTGCCTCTTCTTGCCACCACTGCCGCCACTGCCGCCACGCCACTGCTACCTGCCGCCACTGCTGCTGCTACCCATGCATGCACATGGCACGTGCTGGGCTTACAGAGCAGTGAGGCTGGTGAGTGAAGTCCACATCCCCGGCATGCTGCCACCCAGAATACTGCGAGAGAGGTTCCTGTGGCGACGCATAGAGAGAGGCAAGTTGGTGTGAATGGAGGCATGGAGGCAAAGCACAGATGGGGTGGGATGTTGGTTGGAAACATGATGTCAAGAGAAAGGAAATGAGCAGTATCTAGCAGGCTAAGTTGGATCTTACGTTTACGGTCTGTTACGTTTTCGTTTATTTACGACGTTTTTTACGTTTACGAACGGTTGCCTGGATTCGGCCTTACGTTTACGGTCACCTGAAAACTTTTTTAGGTCTGCCCGAGGAAAAACATTACCAGAGTACTAGGGAGACTCATTCTGTAGGCATCATGTCAATGTTGAAGAAACAATAATACCCTAAACATAAAATCCTCCTCCTCCTCCTCCTCCTCCTCCTCCTCCTTCTCCTCCTCCTCCCCTTCCCCCTCCCCTTCCTCCTCCTCCCCCTCCCCTCCCCCCAGCTCCCCCTCCCTAACACAACACGGTCATCTCCCTCCCACCTAATTCCTTAATTTGCTATCTTGTTCGACGTCAACCTACCAGCTCGTTCATATCCTATCGTATTCCTTTCCTACTAGTCAACGCTGAATCTGAAACTTTCATGGACTCGAAAGGCGCTCCATAACTAGTAAAGTCGCTATTCTAGAAAGGCACACGGCGGATTAGTAGTAGGATCTGGTATCCGTACAGAATCCAGGGAGACAAACAAAAAAAAAAAAAACAAAAAAAAAAACAAAAAAAACAAAAAAAACAAAAAAAAAAAAAACAAAAAAACCTAAACCCGGAACTTTTTTTTTCGCTGCCCGCCTCAGACTTACGCGAAAGTTAACGTTCGTAAACGAAAACGTAAAATTTCGCGAAATTTACGTTTACGAGACCTCAAAAAACGTAAGTGCCCAACTTAGCTAGCAGGCACAGGGATAGGAGTGATTGACGGGTTGAGGGTTGATGGACTGTGCTGGAGAATTCGGTTTGGTGTTCAAATCTCTCACGTACGTTCACTGACGAACATACGAAATAAGTGATCGATATGCTACATACGGGCAGCCCAGGCGGAAAAGAAGAAGTATCTCTTTTGTGTTCGGGCGTTTCCGCAGAGCGTGAAACCCTATGCTCAAGTTTGAAATTCGAATGTAGCCAAACCAATCCCCCCTCTCCCCATACCCTCCCCCAACCGCACACCACCTCACACCACTCCCAAACACAAACTTTACCAAACTTAAGCAACCTCCACTCACTTGGAGGATTAGTATGAATGAGTAGAAGGGCCAGGAGGACAGGATGAGGAGGAGGAGGAGGAGGAGGAGGAGGAGGAGGAGGAGGAGGAGGAGGAGGAGGAGGAGGAGGAGGAGGAGGAGGAGGAGGAGGAGGAGGAGGAGGAGGAGGTGGTGGTGGTGGAGGAGGAGGAGGAGGAGGAGGAGGAGGAGGAGGAGGAGGAGGAGGAGGAGGAGGAGGAGGAGGAGGAGGAGGAGGAGAGGGGGGCGAGGGAGTAAAGGGCGTAGCCTCGTAGGTAGGTCAATGCTGGAGAGTATAGGGTACACTACTCGTTACAGATCGGTACGGTACGTACCTTGGATTAGGTGCTGTGCATGAGAATTTGCAAACATTTAACTGAATCTAGTATATACATACATATATATATACTATATATACATGTATATATATTTATAAACATGTATGCATGCATACATATTGTGAACTCGAATGTGACCAACAAAAGAAATCCCTCCACCCTCGGCATCAAGGTTTTTTCGCAGCTGCCGTACTTTCTCGTCCCTCCACAGCCCATATACTGAATATAACGGAGCACGGAATTTAAGTGTACTGCATGTATTACAAAAGCACGAGCTTGAACAAAGTATTTGCAACACGTGTATATTCCAAGTTCCAACATAGGGTGGGAGGGCAAGATAGGCGGGAGCAGTGGACTCACAAGGTTTTGAGGCTGCTGAGCACAAACCATGAGTCTGGAAGTTCTCCAGAGAATAAATTGTTGCTCATATCCCTGCCATGGCACAGGCACAGGCACAGGCACAGGCACAGGCACAGGCACAGGCACAGGCACAGGCACAGGCACAGGCACAGGCGCAGGCACAGGCACATGCACAGGCCAAAGGGCAGGGTCGAGAGTATTCAGTATGGGACCAAAGACGAAAATGATGATGTGCACATGGAGACAGACAGATGCCCAGACAGGGTATTCCAGACAAACAAACACAACACCAAGGTAATCCAGGAAGAGTGTTAACTAAGGTTCGGTTCAGAAACTATGAGGTTCACCGTTCACGCACAGCACAGGTGCTCCAGGCCCATGAACAGGCTGTAGTCACGTGGTAGATTACTATTAGTCGGCTCGTACATATTGGAGTGTTAACCTAAGGTTTAGTTTGGACGGTGAGGCTAAGCTAAGGTCTAGGTTAGGCGGTGAAGTTCACGCACAGGTGCTCCAAGCTGGTAAACTCGCTGTAGTCAAGTGGTAGATTAAATAGTCGACTCATTATAGGAGTGCTAAGCCACGGCTTGGTTTAGACGGCGAGGTTCACGCACAGGCACTCCAGGCTGGTAAACTTGCTGTAGTCAAGTGGTAGAAACCCATAGATATTGTTTCCGGAGAGAGTACTGCCGCGGGGAGAGGGATTAGGGGATGGTGCTGTGCTGAGGAATGGAGGAGAGGAGATTCAGTTGTGTTGGTCGGAGGAGCATTGCTGAACGAACGCAGAAGGAGAGCACTGTGGTTGAACTAGCAGCAGCACGCATGCATGCATGCGCAAGAACACACCCACACACACAGGCACGCACACACGCACGCACGTGCACACACACGCTCATGCACCCATGCAGAACATGCGAATAAGCGAATACAAGCATGCAGTCACACCCGCTCGCCCACCCCCACACAAACACGCACGCACGCACGCACGCATGCACGCACGTATGCGCCAGCGAAGGCCTCTCACAGTGACTTGAGGGCTTTAAACTTAGTGAAGTCCCCGCTCAATGGCCCCAACAACTGATTCCTCTGCAGGTTTCTGGCGAAAATAATGAGGAGAAGGCGGCGGAAAGCAGAACAGGGGAGCAGAGCAACATACCAAGCAGGCATGAGAGCAGGTGGTACTACTGGTTATATTGGAGCTACTTTTGAGAAACCAATGTAGGCACCACACGTGAACTCTCGAGCAGATTCGAAGGCACTAGTGAAGCAGCAGCGATAAGGAGCAGCAGCAGTGATAGGAGGCAAGGAAGCCTTCCAGTCCAAAGCAGGACTGCCCGTCCCGTCAGGGAGTTCCAAGTCCCAAAAACAAAACCGCGAGCAGAAAAGACCGAGGGCAAGAGCATTTCGGGCATGGGATCAAAGCCAAGCTAACCAAGCAAACATGTAGCAGCGCATGGTGCAAGCAAGCAAGCACCATCAGAGGCCGTGGTGGTGGTGGGGCATGGCATGAGAGCCGTCATGTGTCAACACAGAACCGTACGTACATCTCCTGGAGGTAGCTAGTGCTGCCGAATTCCGTTGACACAGCCCCTTCGAATTTATTGTAACCCAGATTGCTGCAGGCACGCAAAGGCAAAGGAAGGCCACGCCACAGACAGTGCTGCTGCTCAGTAGGCAAGGCAAGCTCGTACCAGGTTGCATGAGCTTAGCTTCGTGACTGGAAAGGACAGCCAGCCTGTTGTGAGGCTGGGTTAGCTGCCAGCCACGCCATTCCACACAGGCTGACCCTGACCCAGCCACGGTCCGTCAGCCTGCATACTTAAACGAATTGCGGGCCGGCTCGACCAGAGCATGGCTCACAAAAAATCATGGGCCTTATTCTTTTTGGAATGATGTGTGAATCATAAGAAGAAAACTTGTTCGATTGAACTTGGAGTGAAATGATATTATGTCTCAGGGAAGCGCCTGACACAATACTAGACAAAGGGTGAAACCAAGAGAGCCCAGGCCTGACCCAGCCTGTCTTGCGCCATGCGTGGCTCGTCATGGTGAGGGAGTAGGAGCAGGTATGGCAGGTAGGCAGGTAGGCAGGCTGTGCATGAAGAGGGTAGACAGTGGGGATGAGCGGCGAGCGAGCAGGGGGAGCACGGCTCACATGGTTGTCAAGAGGGTGAGAGTGGTGAGCACCGGTAGCATTCCCGTGAAGTTGTTGTGAGAAACATCTCTGCCACGCAGACAGCAAAACGGAGTTGAAAGACTCGGCAGCAATCCTTCCTAGGGTTACGGCTCACCACAACTATCCTGCACGCAGAAATATGCTGCACTCGCTAAACAAGGATCAGCCACCGTTGTTCGGTTGCATCAACGAACAAATGAACCAACCAGCCAGCCGGCCAAGCAGCCAGTCAGCCAGCCAGTTACTGAGCCATCTAGATTGCTACTCTAGCTTGGAGCCGAAACAAGGTCCTCTGAAATACATGGCTACAGCAAAACAGAAGGGCAGCAGGGGAGAGCATGGCGCATCAGAGCAAGCGGAGGAGGAGGAGGAGGAGGAGGAGGAGGAGGAGGAGGAGGAGGAGGAGGAGGAGGAGGAGGAGGAGGAGGAGGAGGAGGAGGAGGAGGACTGACAGGTGCTGGAGAGATGTGAGGGCAACGTAGGCCTGAAGGAAGTCGCCTGAGATGCTGTTGCGACTCAGGTCCCTGTGATGGCGGGGGCCAGGGGGAAAACCAAGTGACAGTGTGGGTGTGAGGGTGGGATGGTGCGAGGGTGGGAGGGTGCGATGCGAGGGCGGGTGCGTAGGTGGTGGTGGTGGAAGTGTTGTGGAATGTGGTGCTTGAGAGCCAAAGATCCTGAGCCATTCTTTCAGGAGCACATCAGTCCTGAGCCATTCTTTCAGGAGCACATCAGTCCTGAGCCATTCTTTCAGGAGCACATCAGTCCTGAGCCATTCTTTCAGGAGCACATCAGTCCTGAGCCATTCTTTCAGGAGCACATCAGTCCTGAGCCATTCTTTCAGGAGCACATCAGTCCTGAGCCATCCCTTCAGGAGCACATCAGTCCTGAGCCATTCTTTCAGGAGCACATCAGTCCTGAGCCATCCCTTCAGGAGCACATCAGTCCTGAGCCATCCCTTCAGGAGCACATCAGTCCTGCCATTCTTTCAGGAGCACATCAGTCCTGAGCCATTCTTTCAGGAGCACATCAGTCCTGAGCCATTCTTTCAGGAGCACATCAGTCCTGAGCCATTCTTTCAGGAGCACATCAGTCCTGAGCCATTCTTTCAGGAGCACATCAGTCCTGAGCCATCCCTTCAGGAGCACATCAGTCCTGAGCCATCCCTTCAGGAGCACATCAGTCCTGAGCCATCCCTTCAGGAGCACATCAGTCCTGAGCCATCCCTTCAGGAGCACATCAGTCCTGAGCCATCCCTTCAGGAGCACATCAGTCCTGAGCCATCCCTTCAGGAGCACATCAGTCCTGAGCCATCCCTTCAGGAGCACATCAGTCCTGAGCCATCCCTTCAGGAGCACATCAGTCCTGAGCCATTCTTTCAGGAGCACATCAGTCCTGAGCCATTCTTTCAGGAGCACATCAGTCCTGAGCCATTCTTTCAGGAGCACATCAGTCCTGAGCCATTCTTTCAGGAGCACATCAGTCCTGAGCCATTCTTTCAGGAGCACATCAGTCCTGAGCCATTCTTTCAGGAGCACATCAGTCCTGAGCCATTCTTTCAGGAGCACATCAGTCCTGAGCCATCCCTTCAGGAGCACATCAGTCCTGAGCCATTCTTTCAGGAGCACATCAGTCCTGAGCCATCCCTTCAGGAGCACATCAGTCCTGAGCCATCCCTTCAGGAGCACATCAGTCCTGAGCCATCCCTTCAGGAGCACATCAGTCCTGAGCCATCCCTTCAGGAGCACATCAGTCCTGAGCCATCCCTTCAGGAGCACATCAGTCCTGAGCCATCCCTTCAGGAGCACATCAGTCCTGAGCCATCCCTTCAGGAGCACATCAGTCCTGAGCCATCCCTTCAGGAGCACATCAGTCCTGAGCCATCCCTTCAGGAGCACATCAGTCCTGAGCCATTCTTTCAGGAGCACATCAGTCCTGAGCCATTCTTTCAGGAGCACATCAGTCCTGAGCCATTCTTTCAGGAGCACATCAGTCCTGAGCCATTCTTTCAGGAGCACATCAGTCCTGAGCCATTCTTTCAGGAGCACATCAGTCCTGAGCCATTCTTTCAGGAGCACATCAGTCCTGAGCCATTCTTTCAGGAGCACATCAGTCCTGAGCCATCCTTTCAGGAGCACATCAGTCCTGAGCCATCCCTTCAGGAGCACATCAGTCCTGAGCCATTCTTTCAGGAGCACATCAGTCCTGAGCCATCCCTTCAGGAGCACATCAGTCCTGAGCCATCCCTTCAGGAGCACATCAGTCCTGAGCCATCCCTTCAGGAGCACATCAGTCCTGAGCCATCCCTTCAGGAGCACATCAGTCCTGAGCCATCCCTTCAGGAGCACATCAGTCCTGAGCCATCCCTTCAGGAGCACATCAGTCCTGAGCCATCCCTTCAGGAGCACATCAGTCCTGAGCCATCCCTTCAGGAGCACATCAGTCCTGAGCCATCCCTTCAGGAGCACATCAGTCCTGAGCCATCCCTTCAGGAGCACATCAGTCCTGAGCCATCCCTTCAGGAGCACATCAGTCCTGAGCCATCCCTTCAGGAGCACATCAGTCCTGAGCCATCCCTTCAGGAGCACATCAGTCCTGAGCCAAAGATCCTGAGCCATCCCTTCATCAGCATATCAGTGCTGGCGCACAGACAGCATGGGACTTGACTAAGTGGACACAGCAGGCACAGAGCACAGCACTGCGTGGGCTGGTTGGGATGAATGAATGTGGTGGTCGCCCATTCGGCTCGGACAAGCATGGTGGTAACTGCTTTGGGAGAATGGTCTGATCTGACCATGGCTGAATGCGGACTGGCAGTCAAAAACCACGCAGAGTGCAGCAGGACATGCTTACCAACAAGTGTGTGCATGCACTTCGGGCAGAAACCATACAACATTGGATTGGCGCCATTTCTGGTATGGTCTGAGAAATCTCCAATGTTGCAAGGACGGTGTCAGTGAGTCCTAATTTCTGGACTGGAGGAGAGGAGGAAAGAAAGATCTCATGGAGAAATCTTACGACGGGGAGATCTTACAAGTGGCGCAGGGCTGTGAGTGAGGTGACAATGTCTGGGTACGCAGTGATTCTGTTGCCACTGACATCCCTGCCAAAAACACGCACGCACACACGCACGCACGCAGAGTGTTGTGCCAACAGCACCAGCACACATTTGCCACGACGCCACGTGCATTGCATGCGGACACATGGAAACAGCACGCGAGCAACAGCAACAGTACTCAAGTTGTCCCTCTCAAGCGTGCACGCACTCACACACATCCATGTAGGTTGAGCAAGAATCCGAACCCATGTTCGGTTTGACTCGAATTTGCTTAAGAGAGAGCATGCTCAAGTGTTCAGGGTTGGATTGACTTCCCCAACAGCACTCATGGTTTCACAAAGACAAAGAGGGGGTGATGAGCTTGACAATTTACACAGCCCCGTATGTGAATAACAAAATTAAGGCTCAAACCGAATGTGTTCGGGTCGACCAGTTACCTGTTCGAATGGCATGGCACACCACACGCAAATGTTCACCAACAGTCGAGTCCAGTTGACGTCCAACTCGAACAGCTGAACACTATTATTGCAAAGACTCTCCAACCGAACACGTTCTATGCGAGTAAAAAAGATGTCTGAAACTGTTCAAGGCCAACAGCACAGCTTCGAGCTCGCCTTTTGCGAGTGTCTTGTCTACATCTATGCACATGTGTGCAAGAGAAGGTGAGTGAGCCGACAAAGGGAGCGTGCTGCATGGACATAGCAGATCAATGCAGGTGTGTGCACAGCGCACGTGTCAGTTTTTGAGAATTCTCAAGCGCGTGCACACACTTGCGCCTATGTGTGAGCATCTGTGCATATGCACGCATGGAAGGTAATCCACCGGACACTTACAGGTGTTGCAAGGAGGGGGAAAATGCGGAAACAATGGGCGGAACCTCTGTGAGCTTGTTGTTGCCCATCTTGCTGCGTGCAGTGAAAAAGAGTCGAGCGTGTTGTGTCAGCGCATGAAGGGATGGGTAAGCACTGTGAATGTGATGTGATGCATGCACGTGAATATGATGAAAACATGGAAAACACTCGGAAAAGGGACATGGAAGACGCATGAAGACACGGAGAAAGCAAAATATATGCATGTCACTCACAGAGCCTTGAGCTGGCCAACATTGGCTGGAATGGCTTGTGAGGAGATACCGACAAAGCCATTGCCATTCAGGTTGCTGGCGGGAAACAGAAGAGAGGCAGGGAGTGAAAAAAGGCAAACGTTAGATTTCCTGGGATTCCCGAAACACCAGGTTTCCAGGCAGAGACAGGCAGGATGAAGTGTCAGTAGTAAGGCAGAATGGGGAGGGAGAAAGCACGCCGACGAGAGCGATTTGTGATGGAGGTATGGTGATGAGAGGCAGGATGATGAGAGGGATGGTGATGAGAGGCAGGATGATGAGAGGGATGGTGATGAGAGGCAGGATGATGAGAGGGATGGTGATGAGAGAGGTATGGTGATCAGTCGTTTGCTGATGAGAGTTATGGTGATGGAAGGTATCTGGTGTGGTGATGAATGAAAGGTAGGCTGGCAAGCAGAGAGGCATGAGACGTACAGCTCTTGCAGGGACGACATGAAGAGTATGGTGGCCGGAAGACTCCCTTTGAAGCTGTTGTCCGCCAGGTTTCTTCCATGGCAGAGTGGATGGGCGGCATGTTGCAATGCGATGAGATGAGATGAGATGAGATGAGACGAGATGAGAGCACAGATTCTGTGCCACAGAGGCAGAGAGCAGGCAGGACTGTTTCAGGAACCAGTCTCGATTGTTAAACGGCCTGACAGAGAGGATCAACATTTTCGACAGGCGGTAAAAGTGCCACGCCGCTGCAGGAGCTCTGAGAATGGAAGGGAAGGGAAGTGCCACGTGAGGTATGCATGTGGCGTACATGAGAGAGGAGGTGGTGGATGGAGATTTCAGCATCACTCGTGGGTGCAGGTTAGTAGTCAGCCCAACTCACAGGGTGGTCAGTGTAAACAAGTTCGTCAGCTGGTTGGGGAGATTGGGACCAAGACGGTTTCCACAAAGACTCCTGAACGGCAGGAATGGGAATTGGTGCCCGTGGGTGAGCCATAGGACAGGCAGAGTTAGTGCAAGTATAGGTTGATGGTCATACTTACAGACTCGTTGTGATTGGACTTGTGTATGTGTGTAACCAGTGCCATATCAACACAAAGGAATATTAGGAGAGCAGAGAGGGAGAGGAGAGAGAGAAGAAGGGGATCCTTGAAGAGAGGAGATAAGGGAGAAGGAGAATGTCGGTCAACAAGTCGCACTGTGTCACCTGGATGGGAGTCGAGTCACTAAGACAGATGCATGCAAGCACGCATGCATGCTCTGGACCTCCCTTGCAATGCAACCCAGACAAGACTATCGTCACATTCCCCAGCCGTCACATTCCTTTTCAGTCCAGATAATCGAATCAATCTGCGCTTTGAGAACTCACATGATCCTAGCGGGATGAAGAAGGGACAGTTAGGGAAGGGGAGGGGAGGGGAGGGGACACCATTGAGAACTTACAGGTGCACAAGTCTAGTAAACGAGAAAACAGGAGCCGTGGGGAAGGCACCAGCCATTTGGGTGTTGCACGCATGCCTGACCCGAGGACAGATGGGCACATGGGAAGATGGGCAGATGGGCACATGGGAAGATGGGCAGATGGGGAGATAGGCAGATGGGAGGGAGGGAGGGAGGGAGGGAGGAAGGTGGGCAACGAGAATGGCAATATAGCAGCATGCATGGACAGCTCATGGGCAGTTGCAGAGAGCAGCAACACCAGCACCTCTAGCTGCCCTAACTGCGAGCCATGAGCAACCAACAAGAGACGCAATGTGCTGTGCAGGAGTCGAGAAAAGAGGGGGCGAGAAGAGAGAAGGGGGGCAAAGCAGGGAGAAAAAGGGGAGACGAGTGTGTACAGTGCGGTGAGGCCAGTGAGGAGGCTGAGCTGAGTGGGTAGCGTTGTGATGGGGTTGCCACTCAATGACCTGCCGTGGAAACGAGGGGATGATGCAAGGGAACAAGTGCAAATGTGCTGACAGTTCGGAAACGCGCAAATGGGCGCATGCAAAGGGAATGGATGAGGGAGGATCATACGTATGAATGAACCACAGCCACACAGTGGGCCTTTTCAGGTGGGTGGGACCGTTGAATGCTCGCACAAGTGTTTTTTGAGGCGCCTCAAGAGTTGTTCTTGCAATCAGAGCTCTCTTAGCTCGGTAGTTCTTACTCCCTTTCTTTCTTGCTAAAGTTTTTCTCTAGTACTGCTGCCCTTCCACCATGAGTGAAAACGATCAGTGGGCCTTTTCAGGTGGTTGAGTGCTCTCACAAGTGGTTGAGTGCTCTCACAAGTGGTTGAGTGCTCTCACAGGTATTTGAGTGAGGAGACGGCGGAGAGGAGCAGCACGTCGTCGTCAGTGAAAGAGCAGTTGTCCAATTTGCTGCGAGGGGGGAGTTTAATGGGATGGGATGGGATGGTAAGGGATGGGATGGGGCAGAAAAAAGGAAGGGACGGGATGGAGATGGATCAGATGGGTTGAATAGGATTGGACAGGACAGCTTGTCATGAAACGTAAGAGGAGAGTACGACAGGGGAAGACAAACGTAGGACCCCACCAGATGCAGCACGCAGCACACTACTCTTTAGAGATCCCTTTCTCTGTCTCCGCCCAAGCTCCCCTCCCCTCCCTCCCCGTCCTCTCACCATCCCCTCCCACCCAACAACCAGTGGAAGAAGGAGCTTTCAAGGGCGTAAGGAGCTCTCACGAGCACATGGAGCTCACAGGAAGGAGATTTTCCTGCCCGCGGCAATGGAGCTTGGTAGATGATTCAACATCATGTTGCCACCCAAGTCCCTGCAAGCAGGTATTAGAGTCAGAACGGTGAGAGCATGACACGGAGCAGAGGGGCAAGAGAGTGGGAGAGAGTGGGAAAGGAGTGGGGTAAGAGAGTGGGGGAGAGATAGCAACGAGGTGAGCTGTTGCAAAGACATGAGGACGATGGGGAGCGGGGCCGAGCGGGCAGGCACGGCTGTGAGAAGGCTCTTATTGAAAGCCTCGTGTGAGTGAGGTGCGTGAGGCGATGATGTAAGGGAATGATGTGAGAGCGGTGCTTGAAGGAATGATGTGAGAGCAGTGTGTGAAGGAATGATGTGAGAGCAGTGTGTGAGGGAACGACATGATTGTCAGCCGTTCAGAAGGACAACAGGGAAATTGGGTTGGCGGGGGGGGGGAGGAAGAATAGAGGGGGTAGAGAGAAGAGGGAGACGCAGGGTTGGGAAGCAGATAGAAAGGAAGAGGGAGGGACGGACCAAAAAGGGGGTGAGGAGGGGGAAGAAAGGGGGGAAGGGGAGGGGAGGGAGAGGGGGGGAGGGGGATAAGTCAAGAATGAACGAGAGCCTTACAGGTACCGCAGTGTTGGAGGTAATGCAGGAATAGTTCCCACCAGCATGTTTCCTGACACGTCACTGGAAGATTCAGCAGCGCCAGAGGCAAGGGGAGGAGGAGAACAGAACACGAGACGCAAGCAGCACACAAGGAGGTTCGTTCGAGTGGCACTCTCTCCTCCACAAGGAGAAGAAGGAGGAGGAGGAGGAGGAGGAGGAGGAGGAGGAGGAGGAGGAGGAGGAGGAGGAGGAGGAGGAGGAGGAGGAGGAGGAGGAGGAGGAGGAGGAGGAGCAGGAGGAAGAAGAAAGAGCACAAGACCGTTCGTGTGCCACGTTCTCCTCCACACATTGAACTGAATTGAACCGCTAGCCCTGACTCAACGCCGTTTGCCTCTGCAGGAAAGCCAACCCATTGAGAAACTATGGCACCACCAGGCTAAGCGAGAAAACAAACACAGAGGGCGTACCAAAAAACATGTATATCTTCATAAATATCGCTAATTTTATTTCATTTAGTTTCTGTCCTTTGGGGAACTGTACACGCCGTCGCCGAACAAGAATCTAATTGCACGAATCTCGAATTCCATTCCACCATCCCCACACCATTGAGGTCTGGGTCTGACAACGTCAGCTAGGGATGAGCAGAGGGCGAACTCGAACACGTTCGGGTTCGCCCCCCCTCGAACAGGGCCATTTCCCGAACCGAACACTGTTCGGTTCGGCGAACTATTTGGCCTACGGCAGGTGTTCGCCGTTCGCCCCAGGGGGCGAACATTTTGTTTCTGAGGGCGAACTCGAACATGTTCGCCTCGAACATGTTCGAGTTCGCCCAGGGGGAACTTCGTTATAGTCACAGTGGTCAGACAGGGGATTTGGAGGGTCGGGTAGATAGATAGGGGTGTGGAGGGTGTCTCTGTGTTCATGCAACGCACACAAGCATACGAGACCGTCATGTTCTGTGAATATAAAAGTCAATGTCACATAAAGTCCTACGCCTGAACTCCACTGCTACTACCAACAACAGCCTGCTCCCCGCCAGCGGTGTCGCCAGCACCCACCCCCTCCTGCTCCTCCTCCCACTCCTCCTCCCCCTCCTCCTCCTCCTCCTCGTCGTCCTCCTCCTCCCCCTCGCCTTCAATGGCGAACTCTGGCGGTGCGACGCCCTTTGCACGGCGGCCCTCGCCTATCCTCTGTCCAGGGTGTGAACTGTACCATGATTTGAGAATCATGACAGCTCGCGTCCTCTGAGAGGCCAGGCGGTGCCGCTTCCAGGAAATGAGGTTGCGGCCGAGGGAGAACACGCGCTCGCTCGAAGCGGACGTGGCAGGGATGGCGAGATAATCCCGGGCCATGCGCCTCAGCGTCTGCATGTTGGTGGCGGTGCGCCAATACTCCAACGCTGACACGTCGCACCGCACCCTCTCAGATAAGTACCTGCTAACCTCGTCATCCTGCACCATCCCACCCCTCGTCTAGGAACTCCGGAGCGATCACACCGTCCCCCAAGGGCTCCCCAGTGAACGTGGCGGGATACGCCCGCTCCCTCACTTTGTTGGCCTTCTTCCTAACCCTCGGACCCGCCAAGGACGCGGGCTTTCTCCCCACCTTAACCCCCAAGCTCCCTCCACCTTCAGCCACATGCTGTGATCCCGCCTCTGTCGCCGCCCCTACTCCACCCCCCTCTCCCACCTCCTCCCCCACCGCCTCCTGCACCTCTTCTGGCTCTAAATCATCCATCTCATGATCCTCATCATCATCCCCCCCTTCCCCACCACCATGCTTCTCGGGATCCCACCCCTCCTCACTGTCATCCCCGCTCCCCTCATTCTCCTCATCCTCCTCGCCCTCACCCGCCTCATCCTCATCCTCCTCCTCACTGACACTCTCTGGCAGCGTCTGCCCCGAAGGAGGGGGTCGAGGGCCGTCGTAACGGAAAGACTGACGAGATGCCGGCGCCGCAACGGAAAGAAACCCCTTGATGAAGCAAGCGCCGGCTCCTCCAGGTCCATCCCCTACTCGCCCCTCCATAGGTCGTGGTGGAGAACCTGGTGCGCCGCCCCGAGTGCTGCCTGCACCTAACCCTACGGAGCTACCATGTCCGGAAGCCATAACTCCACCCTCGGCCCTAAAACCCTAAACCCCCCCCGAACCAACGGTCACGTGCCGAGAAGAACCACGGTCCTAAACGTTTTCGAGCACGGATAGCTTTCTGAAATGCCCGTCCCGAACCCTACGGAGTTGACAACGCGCTCTCTGATCGTGGTGCTACTCTACCTTATAATCACCCTACACACACTTGGCTCTAGGAAAACCGTAGAGCTAATGTGCGTGGATATTAGTAGTGGTAGTAACTGCATGTATGCTACAAGTTGAAGGGCTAGGGCGGGTGTGAGAGGGAACCCTAGGCTAGGCTGTAAAAGCGTTCTGAGGTTGAGCTCACGAAATGAGCTCAACCTCGAATTGGCCGCGACCTAAATCTGGTCGCGGCCAAATTTGACGCGAACACATTGGGGTTCGCGTCACCCCCATTTCGAACACGAACATGTTCGTGTTCGACTTGGGGGCCCCAGATGACGGAGCCGAACGGCGAACATGTTCGGCCGAACACCGAACATGTTCGCCCCGAACAATTTGGCAAAAAAAAAATGCCTGTTCGGTTCGCCTCGAACATGTTCGAGGCGAACCGAACAGGCGTTCGGGATTTTGCTCATCCCTAACGTCAGCCACGGTCATTACCCACAGTTACAGTCACTGCCACGGTCGCGTTACTGCAGCGGGCGTTACTGTAGCGGGCGTTACTGTAGCGGGCGTTACTGTAGCGGGCATCACTGCAGCGGGCGCCTACTGAGAAGAACCAACCGGGGTTGCTAGAGGGCACCTGCCCCATATGTTTCCACGCCTCCCAGAAAGCACCTCACTTCATTTCATCAGCTTCTCCCCTTCCTGGAGCCCCCTCTTGCACTGCCTAGAAAGCGGGAGCTGGGGATAGCTAGTTAGCTGGGACTTTGATGTCGCTAATCTAGCAGCAGTTGGGAATCTTTTACAAACACAAAAAAAAAACTCATGCAACAAGAAGGCCCCAGGGGGCTCTGGGATAGCTAGCTGGGACTTTGAAGCTGTGAGCTGGGTCCAATTATAAGTGTGTGTGTGTTCGTGCCTACCCTCTCTATGTCAATGCTCGCTGCTGTTTTTGTCGCTCATATATATGAAGGGCCAAGTGAGGGGAGTCACGAGAGAACGAGAGCCTTACAGGAACTCCACTGCAGGCAACATTGGGAGACTGCCACTCAGCCTGTTTCCTGACAAGTCCCTGGCAGAGAAAGAGCAAGAGGGAGGTGGAATGAGGTTCCGGTGCCATGCTTGATATTGAAGTGCTACTGCTGCCATGGCAGCAACAACATAAGGACTTAAGAAAAGCAACAAACACGAAAAGACGAGAATTTGAGCAGTTGATTGTGTGTGTGAGCGACACCCTTCTTAGCAAGCCTCAAACCAGGATGAAAGGAAAGGGTGCAAACGCAGACATGCAGAGGAGCATGCATGCTGCACGCAAGAGTGAGTGGCACTTGAAATGTAATCAGTGGGAGCTTTTGTCAACACCAGTCTCAAATCACTCCCAGTGTTTATTTAATCGTCTGAGAATGGAGCATATCGACATCCAGAAACACATTCACCCCACCCCACACACATGCACCCCACCCCAAATGCATGCACCCAAGGTGCAAATAAATGACGTCTTTTTTCAGAATTTTACCGTAAAATACCGTGTCGTAAAAATCAATCGTAAAAAACCATAAAAAAACAACTGGCATTTGGGTGGTAAAGCCATCGTCTTTTTCAGGTAATCTCTTATCTGCTGTTGTAACATGGGCAATTTTTCATAAGTAGAGCAAGAGGGCCATTAGGAGTGCTGCTGGTGCACCAAGAGATGTTGTGAGGTGTTTGTCTTGCTCAAAGCAACATCTTCAATTTTTTTGCCTTTTTTCTCTAACAAAAAATCGTCATTTTTTTCCAAAAGGTACTGTAAAAAACAGATTGATTTTTCGACAACCGGTTTTTTCCACCTTGCGTGCACCCCACCCCACACACCCCACCCCACACACATGTGTGCGTCAACTCACGGGCAGTGGCAAGGGGAACTCACAGCACATATAACAAGACCATGTTGTGCAGCTCTGCAGGCAAGCTGCTGCTGAGTTGGTTGTTCTGCAGCTGCCTGATGATGGGGGGCGAAGAGGGGTGATGGGGGGTGATGGGAGGTGACGGAGGGTGGAGGGGGGTGAAGGTGGGTGATTTGAGGTGATAGAGTGATAGCACGGTGATGGAGGGTGATGGGCGAGAGAAAGGGGGTGATGGAGTGATGAGGTGAGGATGTGAGGGGATGAGGAAATGAGGGTGTGAGGTGTGTGAGGGTGTGAGTGACGGTGTGATGAAATGAGGGTGTGAGGGAGTGAGGGTGTGAGAGGGTGATGGGGCACGAGGGGAAAAGTGGGATGTGGGATGAGAAGACAGAGAGATAAGGGTTAGGGGGAGAGAAGGAAAGGAGGTGGTGGAATGGGAGGGAGTGGAAGCGGGAGTGAGGGACTGGAAAGGCAGGGTGAAATGAGTGTTTGTGTAATTGCTGGGCTGCACGGTGCATTTCCGTGTGACACCTTGTTCGCACCGCATGAACCAAACTGAACACATTCCATGCCATAATCCATTAGGTCGACTTTAATCCCACTCAAAGAGTTATGGGGGTGGATAATAAGAGTGACACAACCTTTGAAAGGAACAGCACGAGGGGGAAAGGATGAAGAAACTCCAGTCTCCAGCTGCCATGTGTGTGTGATATTGGGCACAGCGCAACTTCCTCACTGATGACAGCATGTGCCGGAAGCACTTTTGAGGCGCCTCAAGAGCAACTTCCCCACTGATGACAGCATGCACCCAAAGCACGCAAATATTCATGCACCGCTTCGAGGCGCACGGATAGAGATAGTGGAGTGGTGTGGTGTGGTGCGGTGTCGTGTCCTGTCCTGTCGCGCCGCGTCGCATCGTGTCGTGTCGTGTCGTGTCGTGTCATGTCGTGTTGTGTCGCGTCGTGTCGCGTCGCATCATGTTGAGTCGTGCTGTGTCGTGTGGTGCGGAGGGATGTGGTGCCTACAGCTCTATAAGTGCGGTCAGAGCGGAGAATTCCGACGGTATGGTCCCAGTAAGCTGGTTGCCACTCAAATCCCTGCCATGAAGCCACGGCATGAAGACATGAGGCCACGACATGAAGGCATGAGGCCACGAGCAAGACACGAGGAGATACGTCACACACGTACGCACGCAAGGTATTCATTTTCAAACTGATTCCAATTCGATGGCTCAACTGGGACATACGGGCGCACGTGCCCCAGGCACTGGGGTCAAAAGGCAAAGACACAACAACGGGAAGATTTTCATTGGAATTAGAGCCGATGCAATGTGTACTGCGTTGCTGGGAGGAAGGGAGGGAGGGAAAGGAAGAGGAGGCAACAAGTGCTGGAGGAGTGGCGTGCATGGCTAACAGGTTGGTCAAGAAAGAGAGTGAGCTCAAATCTGCCCGTCTAATCTGTTGCTCACAACACGGAACGGATGGTATGAAATGGGACCAGGGGGGCATACTCATGCCAAACGAGACAGGCACAGTGGCACATGGTCACATGGTCGAATGGGACTCGGGAGTGCAGGGCTTGGCATGGCATGGCATGGCAGGAGTGGGATGGCAACGGTGTGAGGTATTGGGAAAAATGGGATGGTATAGCATGGTGCGGTGTGGTGCTTACATGTATTCAAGCCTGCTCAGGGAGGAGAAACCGGAAGGTATGGGCCCAGTAAGCTGGTTGCCACTCAAATCCCTGCCATGAAATGAAACCATGCAGTCACAAAGCACGAAGCCAGCAAGCCACGAGCAAGACATGGGGAGATGCGTCACACACAAATGTACGCACGATTTGATTTGACAGGTCAAGTGGAAATTACGGGTGCGCATTCCCCAGGCAGGCAGGCACTGAGGTGGATACAACAACGGGCTAATACTTTCTCGACTCAGAATCAATGCAATGTGTTTCGCTTTCCAGCGAGAGAGATGGAGGCATGGACACAGAGAAAGAAGTCTTGTTAGCGCGTGCGTGACTGGGAGAGCACGAGAGGAAGGGAAGAGGATGACAGATGTGCATACGGGGAAGAAGGGAGAAAGGGAAGGAGAGGGAGGGAGAAAGGGGCGGAAGAGAAAGAGAGGAAAGGAAGGAGAGAGGGAGGGAGGGAGAAAGGGAGGGAGGGAGGGAGGGAGGGAGGGAGGGAGGGAGGGAGGGAGGGAGGGAGGGAGGGAGGGAGGGAGGGAGGGAGGGAGGG